GAGAGAGAGAGAGAGAGAGAGAGAGAGAGAGAGAGAGAGAGAGAGAGAGAGAGAGAGAGAGAGAGAGAAGACAGACAAAGGAGAGGGAGCGCTCATGAAAAGTAGCCATCCAACTTGGCTCTCTAACCAGTCCAGGCAGGACTGGACCTCCTCGCTCAGGTAACCTAGTAGAGCTAGATTCTAGGCAAAGGCATGGCAGGTGTGTGAGTCACTCACCCTTTCATCAGAATGGTCTGTTTTACTCAGCTGCTAGGCTCTCTCCATCTTCGCAAGGAAGAGATTTGAGTCCTGAGAGACAACCACACTGCTCGGAAAGGTTCTGAATTTTGCAATCAAGGGAGCTTCCTCACCACAGATTTAAAAGAAAGGAAGTACTACTGTTGGGCTTTTAAATGCTAACTTAAATAGATCTCCGATTTGCATCAATTTCCTAGTATTTTAGACGTGGTCTGTGGGGAGAAGGAGCAGGCTAATTTACTAATAGCTGTGAATTAATATTCAAATCCTGACTGCTTGGAAATCCTTGGAAAGCTAAGCCACCTACAGAGCCTGTATCATCTGTAGAATAAAGTTATTATAATAGCTCCACCGATACAATAAAATGACTAATATTTATTGAAAGTTTGCTCTATTTCAGGCACTCTGCTGAGGTATTTATTTTAGTGGGATGAGTTGTATCAGTGCCTAGCTGTAGTGTATTGTTGGGGGCTGTGAACCCCCCCAGTTCCTGAATTTCTGGTAAACAACTTGTAATGCTTGCGGCTGCTCTGAGCAGGAGACCCTTAGGAGTTCCTGATGGCAGGGGAGTGGTTTCTGGTGGGTTTGTCTGGGGCGTGGCTATCAGTTAAGGATCCCTATATAAGCTGCCCCTGGGCACAATAAGGGGGGCATTCTTGTTTCAAGGATGAACTCCCCCCTTCGTCTTTGTGTGTTTCAATATCCAGCCCCTTGCCTGGCTCACAAACTGTATGGTAGCGCATAGAGCACAGGCGGGCGTGGCACGCTACAGTATATAATTCTGAGTTAGTTTCCATTTGTCTTCTCGAAGTGGAAAACGAATTTAGAGAAAACATCTCGTTTAACTTGTCGTCACTGGCTCCCCCAGCTAGTATCTTAGGGTCATTAAAGAATTTTAATAAACTCTTTCTAACGGAACCCCACACCTGGTTGATGGCTCAGATCATTGATCAGGATGTGGCAACAAGATTGACAGTTCTTCGGAGGAGGTGGTACCCACTGCCATGTTCTCGCCAACCCCCATTTACCTTTGTTGTGATCGCTGTGGAAACCTAGCTGTGGATGACACTGGCTTGCAAAGAACCCCATGGTACCTCTCAATAGATTTACACTTTCTGGAATCCATAGGTCATAGTGTGTGTGTGTGTGTGTGTGTGTGTGTGTGTGTGTGTTAAAGTACATGTACATGTTTGTCTTCCTGTGTATATGCACATGTCTGCAGGTGACCACAGAGGCCAGAAGAGGGCACTGAATCCCCTGGAGTTGGATATAGCGTGGTTGTGAGCTGCCCAGCATTGGTATTAAGAGCTGAACTTGGTTCTTCAGCAAAAGCAGTGTGCACTCGTAGCCACACTCTCCAGCCTCAACATGTCTATCTTTGCTTCTACAGGAGAATGCTTCAGTTTGTCTGAATACATACCCATCTCTGTCAACTTTCCCTTGTCCAATGTTATTCAAAACCCGGTCTTTAGAACTGCATCCAAAATTTCCTTTTAAAGTCAGAGTAGAAAGTTTTATAGTGGCTTTGTTCTGAAGTGTATCCTTGACACATTGACTTTTGTATTACCAGTCACTGAAGTTTGGATTTGTTTGGGGCTTTTGTTTTTATTTTCCTTATAGCTGATGCTGCCACGGGCCTTCTTCGACTTACATTCACTGCAATTTGTGTCCAACACTCCCATATTATTCTTTTGAATTCTACTGTATTTAATTGCTTGATGCTTTAAACCTGTTGCACGTTCATTCATACTAACAGAATGGTTAATTCTACTGCCCGATTGTAATGTAGGTCTATATTCTACATCATCATGTAAGTTCTCAGTGATCTTCCATTTCCAGCCGACACTGAATTTGAGTGTTTTTGCTATTTTAATTACTGAAGACCCACATTACCTGCTCATATTTTCTTCTTATGCTGAAAGACATCAAGCACAGGACACTGGCAGGCCACCCTTATAGACTGAGTAAAGGACCCTTCAAGATGAGAAACTAGGGGAAAGAAACCTTGTCCTCCCAGATGCAGCTGCAAATGGCAGTGTATGGTCTCTCCATCAGAAGTCTGCTCTACTGCAGGTACAGCAACACTGTCAAAAGGAAATGATTACTTAGTGAGTTCTTGTTAAGTCTACTAAATTGCCTCCATAGCAGGCTTTTTCTTTTGGGTAACCAACCAGCTCCCAAATCAGGACACTGAGACTTAATATTAGTTATGAGTATTCTGCCTTTAGTTTAGCCTCATTTCTTGCTAGCTCTTATAACTTAACCTATTTCTCTTTATCTATGTTTCGCCTCAGGGCTTTTTAACCTACTTTTTTTCCTTTCTTCCTTTCTTCTTCCCTTTTCTCCTTCCTTCCTTTTTTTCTTTCATTCTTTCTCTCTTACTTTCCTGTTGTCTTCATGGCTGACTGGCTGGCAGTTTCCTAACTTCTGGTCCCAGGCGTGTCCCTCTCTTTCTCCTTGTTCTCTTCTCCTTCCTTTCTTTCTCCTCCTATTTATTTTCTGCCCACCAGACCCGCCTATCTTTCTCCTGCATAGTTATTGGCCATTCAACTTCTTATTAAACCAATCAGGTGCCTTAAGCAGGCAAGGTGAAAGAAATGTCACACATCTTTACATTGTCAACAAAGGCAACGGAAACAAGTGCAACACACATTTACACTGTTAAAGCAATATTCCACAGCATAAACAAATGTAACAAATCTTTACATAGTTAAAGTAATATTCCACAACACAACATATCTCTTCCTTTTTTAAGTGCCCAGATATGACTTTAGTAAGAAGTGCTTTAATTTTTCTCTGCCTCTGTGAGGTTTCTTGTCTTGGGTTTAGAAACAAATTTTTAGCCTGGTGGTGGTGGTAGTACATGCCTTTAGTCCCAGCATGCAGGAGGCAAAGGCAGGTGGATCTCTGAGTTCAAGGCCAGCCTGGTTTTCGATATCAGAGTGAGTTCCAGGACAGCCAAGGCTACACAGAGAAACCCTGTCTCAAAGAGAAAGACAGAGACAGAGATAGAGACAGAGATAGAGACAGAGATAGAGAGAGAAAGAGAGACAGAGAGACAGAGACAGAGACAGACAGACAGAGACAGAGACAGACAGATAGAGACAGAGAAAGATATGAGAGACAGAGAAACAGAGAGAGACTTTATTTTTGTTATTTTCCTATCCACTTGTCCATCTTCAGCCTTTTTCTGTCCTCTGCCCTTTCTGCTGATTCAAAAGACTTTACTATAAACTACTTGCTGAAGTGTAAATGCTTCAGCAAAGTAAGGTAAGCTGTAGGGAAGTAGGTTATTCTCTTGCAAGTTTTTCATTACTCTCAGTTTTCAGTTAACTCAGTTCAGTGTATCTGAGTTTTCTCTCCATTCCCTGTGGACAAGACAGGAAAAAAGAATTGTCCTTCTCTTGACATCCATTTATGTCAAGCAAAGGCATTCCTTTGTCATTAGTATTTGAATAAAACATTCTTTTGTTGTCCTTATTTTATTGTTGGTGCTAGACTAATAAGCACCAACCAATATTACAAGGGCAAAATGTCCATGGTTTCTATTCTTACCTTTAGTCTCATTCACTCTGAAGGTTTCAATGACCCATCTTGATCCATAAAACCAAACAACTATTACATTATCTAATAACCTAGTTCATTTCTGATGTTCTTCATGGCAGATGTCTCTCAGGCCTCTGTTCACCTAAAAACTAATATGGCTGGGTAGATCAAACATACACAATACACATACATGCACACACACACACACACACAAACACATGCCTTTAACAAAGTTTCAAAACCAAGATTTAAGTTTATATTTTCTACTGCAGTCTATGTCTTTAAAAAGAAAGATTATGATCAACTATATCAAACCCCACCAACACATTGCACCTTGGCACTTAGAGAAGCAGTTTGACGTTGCTATTATGTATTTTGAGAGAAGTCTCTGTGTTTACTGTCAAAGTTCAAGGGGTCGACCTCTGAGAAGTGGGAAAGATGCTTTTGACCAACAAGGGGCCAAAGCAGAAACGACTGTGCCTAAAATCAAACTCTGTAATGTCTAGAGGCATACTAAGACTTGCAGAAAGAGAAAACAGATGTAATTTAAAATCTAGGGGCCTGGAGAGATGGCTCAGTGGTTGAGAGCACTGGTTGCTCTTCTAGAAAACACAGGCTCAATCCCCGGGTTGTGTGAGCACCTATATGGTGGCTCACAGTCATTTGTAACTCCAGTTCTAGAGCTTATGGTAGCCTCTAGTGTC